AACTCTGGGCAATCCTTTCAACATGTTGGCCCTGGCCAGCATGGGCCATTAAAAAGGCAGAGGCAGAAGCACAGGCACAGGCACAGGCACAGGTATTGGACGGACAAACGGGCGACTGTGGCTTGTTTGCTGTTTGCAACGACATGGACAACGACAACGACAACGAGAACGACAACGACAACGACACCGACAATGACAACGACGTAGAGGTTGGCTGCCCCGTCGATGGTTGTCCGGATGCTGTCGACAATGTCGCTTCAAAAATATTGCAGCCGCAGCACATTTCATGTCCTTGCTGCTTGCTGCTGCTGCGGCTGCTGCTGTGCTGTTGTTGCTGGACTGCGTGCATTTATAAATTATGCTCAACATGTAAAATGCCATTTTGAATATGAAATTTGATGCCATTTTAAGCCCTATGCCTGCCCGCATCCATTCCACTCGTTGCTGGCCTTTGTTGCCTCGGACGCATATTTCATCTGAGGCAGCAGAGCCTCGACTCATATTTTAATTACTTGCTAAACGCAGAGTGCGCATTCTTTTTATTTTCATTTAGCCCAATAACGTATTTTTTGTCATCAATTTTATCAGCCGTGCGGCACATTTGTCCTCATTTGTGGCTAATGCCGCGGCTGCATTAGCAGCAGCAGTTGCAGTTGCAGTTGCAGTTGCAGTTGGGGTGGCCACGGCATGTGCAATGTGGCCTATTCGGCTGTCTGCAACTAAGCAAAAAAGGAATAAGTAAAGTACGAAAAAAAGGTCAAAAAATCAATCGGCCACGCAACTAATTCATTTAAATCTAACAAAATCTGAGAAAATCCCTGGCAACGACCTTCGGGATTTTGAGATTTTACGAATGTCAACCGAACGCAACCAAAGTAGCTCAACGGCAGCAGCAGCGGCGGTATGGATCAAGCAGGGTAGTGTAGGTCGGAGGGACGGACAGGGTGTCTGTGTGTGTGTGTGTGGGGAGCTGGTCTGGGCCCTGTTAAGCTGAGCAAGCAAATCACCGGGCATCCCGGCCATGTTGGCGGCAACCCATGTGAGCTTTGGCTAAAATAGTTGGCAACAGCACATTAAACAGCGGCACCCACACACCGACACCTACTCACCCACACACACACACACACACACATTTTTGGGTGCGGGTATGCGTGCAAGAGAAAATGAGGCAACAGCAAAAGTCGCAGAACTTTAGCAATTTGAAGCTAATATGTTGACAATCTCTGCGTACGCTGCCGTCGCTAGCACAGTGGCGCCATCTATGGTTATGTGTACTTAAGTCAGCGGACAAAGCCAGCTGGCGGAGAAGGATGTGAGAGAGACGGGGCTGTTTCGCAGAGGAAGTGGAGGCTGGGCGTTAATGATGAGCAGATCTGACAGCTACATTTATACACTCTCTACCATATATATGCTTAAAAGCTAAATTTGTATACGATAAGAAGCATTTAATATAAACAAAAATGTAGGTTAGATATAAGGCTTAGTTTTAGAATAACAATACTTAACTAATAATTAAATAAATATTAGTATTAAAAGCTATATAGTATAAGGTTTAGATTTATAAATATATAGTTCTTATTATTAAATATATTATTTGGAAAATGTAAACTTAAGTTAAGTTAAGTTAAGTTTAAGGATGGGGCTCAATCTAAAGTTCTATCTCAAAAACTGAACTTAGAGAATAAGATTTTATACTTGATTTTGAAAACTATTTAAAATTGTAATAACTGCAACTTATTGCTGGTATATACAGAGTTTTAGTTAGCTCTATCACTATCAATCAGATCGCTTCCAGTGAGGACTCCGCATGAAATGTATACGATATAATCAAGCTTAAGTTTATGAGGCTCAAGCTTTTGCTCACAGTTGTTGTATATATACACAGATATATATATATTCGCCTTGATGGCTTGCAGTCGTGATTTTTCCCGTGAATTTTCGGCTCTTCCCACTAGAGTTTTTGCAATCTCTTAATAACAAATTCCTGTTGGGGGTTTGTGCTCGCTTATGCACATATGAGTTACAGCGAGCAACTCGTGTACTCGTAAAAAGTGGATTTTACTGCTTAACTTTGGCAACAACAAATGAAGCAAATGAAAAACGCACACAGCAGTTTTTATTTTTTGCATAAATAAAATAAAATGCAATTTTTCCATTGTATTTTTGCTGTGGCAGTCGCAGTGCCTGCTGCTGCTGCTGCTGCTGTTGCTGTTGCACAAATCCCTTGCACAAAAGTCAGCAATCAAAGCAGATTAAAATATGATTTGACAGCTACGAGCTATGAGAAATGTAAATATAAATGAATGTATATGTTGTACAGATGTATCTGTGTATATGGCATGTTATATTTTTATTCATATATCGCATCTGTGTCCCTTGCAAGTGGCGCCACACTTTTTGCCGCGCTGCCCGATTTCATTTTGGCATTTCGATATTGTTTCCATATTTAACTAGAGCCCCGTCGCTTCATATCTTTTGCCGTAAGCCTTCAATTGATGCGTGCATTGCATTTTTATCAAAGCCCGTGCGAGATAGTGCGCCAGCAAAGTGTCGGGCGGGTGGTCGGGCGGGCGGGCCATGTCGGGTGGCCTATTAAAAATTTAAATCAATTTTCAATATGGATTTCGTATAGCTGCTATCTGCTCTATATGCGCATCGGCATCTGCATCTGGCGGATCGCAATTGCGACATTTGTCTGACACTTTTTGTTGATATTCAATATTTTATTTTTACCACTTTTTATATATATATAAAGATGTATGTACAGATATATATATATATTTATATGTATGTATGTATGCAGATATTTTATTTATTGCTTTTGCTTTATCGCAATAGCTGTCAGAGAGTTTTTGCAAAGCGTGTTTTATCTTGAAAATGCATTGCATTTTCTATATTTATTGGATGCATTCCTTGCTAGATCCTAACACGTGAAATATGCTGCTCCAGCCCCTCAGGTGTCTCACTCAGTTGCCCCGCAAAGCCGATGCCCATTTGCACAATTAACAGTTAATAAGCGCAGCCTTTGCCACCAATTGCCGCCATTTACAGCCACCGGCTAACTGACCCCAAAGCAGATTTGCTGCAATTAGCTGCGCCACAGCCGTGCGCAAAGTGTGCAGAGTGCATAAGGCGTCTAAGCCCCACAAATGGGCGGACAATAATTAAATTATCGTTAACGAAAGTCGAAAGTGTGTAGCTTCAACTGTAGATTAAACAGATCATCATATACAAAATATCTGATAATAATCATATATACAAATATTTCAAATGTTTATTTGAATAACTTGTTAATTTTTGAAAAAGAATCAGTTGAGATCGGTTATTTGACGAACGCAAATATTCTTAATATCATTTCTAATGTAATAATTTTCTCATCCTGTGTTTAACATGAATGAACGGATGTTATAAAATATGTCGAGTCAAAAAAGAGAAGCTTTAAACTCACATTGTCATTCAGGAAAATTATAAAGGAAAGTATAAATTGATCTTTCTTGAAAAATGTAGCGCATCATAATGCTGTCAGCTGAGAAACACGAAACACGTAACAGTTGACTAATATTAAATTGAATTATACATTCAAAACTGTGCTGGTTATTTAAGGGAAGCTTCATAAATCGATGTTACTGAAATATTTGCTTTACTCAGTCTATATTTGTAGCCTTAACGGTAAAAGTGTTCACTCTTAAGTTAATAAACTTCAATAAGCTACTACAGAGACCCGATTTCAAATGTCATTGGCCTGATACTAGTCACTCCCATAAACAATATCTGTAACTCCCAAGTTATTTACACTATGATTTGTCAATCTAGAAAGTAGAATATCTATATATAAATTACTTTTTTATTAGACTGTATGAAATATATTTAAGAAAAAGAAAGTAAATAATAAAGGCTGGAGATTTAAGCCCCTTTCGACTGTGGAATCAGCTCTTTAGCTACTCTGCTACTCTGCCTTAAATTTAAATTTAAATCACATGTCTAATGCACAAACTTGGGGCAAATGGGATAATAAACCGTTTGCTAAATGAGCTCAAACATAATGGTATTTACGCAACTGTACCTCGCACGCATAAGTGAGGTTATGTGTGCTATGCGTGTGAGGTTATGTGTGCTTTACAGATCCCAGTTCGGTGGGGGAGGAGAGGTGGTGCAAATGCTTAAATTCTCATTAGGCGCATTAGTAGCGCTGACCAACCGATGCCAGCAGACACCTGCCACAAACCGCGCCTAAATTCAATAATAATAATTGATTGCTTATTACAAATACAGCAACAACAGCAGCATTGAATGGAACATTGCATATGTGACTCAAATTTATACGTTTCACGTTTTTAGGATGGGAGCTCTCCATATTTCGGGCATTTGCTAATATTTACGCATTAGTATTTGCAGGTGCAAAATGTAAGGGAGTTGAGAGGGGCACGGGGCAGGGGGGAGGGGTGGCGGCTAGGTAGGCTTGTGTGTGGGATATACATGCATAAGTAGCCATAAGTCCAGCTGTAATTGACCAATGCACCAAATGGCAGAGAGACTGCACCAAATTGAGAGCTGGGCCACATTAAATTTTCATGTTTTCATTTTGCTTTTGTGCACACAAATTTTAATTATTAACTTTATAATTATGCGAAATCACGAATTACATTAAAATCACTTTGTAATGTTGATTTGGGTTTCGTGCGCTGCGCATTTCGGCTTTTGGCATCGAATTTTTGGTTAGGCATTGCGAATTTCTGATTTCAGAACTAATCGCACCTTGTAAAGTGCGTTACCCAATAATGTCGAGCAGACAGAAACAATATATATATATATAAGCTACAAAACTGTCATATGAATATTATAATATTGCTTTGTTTTGTGGTATATGTATTAGTTGACCTTAGTTGTCCTCAAAGGTTTATCTGTTATTAAGTTGTTTATAATTCTACTAGCTTCAAATTAATTTCTTAAGATCTTAGTGAGAGTTTACAAATGACAAAAAAAGTGAATTTAAAGAATTATGAAAGTTAAATTTGAATATGTAACAAGAAAACAACAAACAACAATATCTTTCGGAAACAGCTTTGATTTTTCAGTAGGTATAATTATTTAAATATCTTTACTAAAAAATTTCGGTATGATTTAGTAGCCATACCGGCTAAACTACAGTCGCTATACCTCTCAGCTCATACACACTCAGTACATCATCATGTTGAGCGTTCTGCTGCTCTCGCTGATGATGGGTCAACAGATGACGCCTGTGCCTGGACAGTATGTGAACTGCAGCCTGTCGAGCGTGGAATTGACTGCCTGTGGGCAGCTCAGTACGAATGGATGCTGCGCCAAGGGCTGCATACGGAATGCCCTGGGTAGGTGTGTCACGGAGCAATGTACTGGCAGCTGGGATGGCTGGCTACGTCGACCTTTGACCATGTCCTGCTACTTTCACTGGTTCCTGCTCATCTTTGCCGGCCTTATAACAACTCTTATGTCGACCGTCATCATCCTGAATTTAATTTTTGAGTTGAGACTGTATCTGGAAAAGCGTCGTATGCGCAGATATTTGCGGTTCAGTCCAAGCAACAGCCCAAGCAGCAGCATAGTATAAAATTGTTGATAGAATCCAAAGTGGCAACGAGGCACTGGGGCATCAATCCAGATCTTAATGCACATGCGTGCGGCATAAAAACTGTGCGGGATTTGGCATAATCTACAATACATTAGCGCTAGCTTTGCTCTGGCTTTCAATTCAATTCGTTGGGTATCTCAACGGAATCCATGTAAATTACGATTTGGCACCTTGCTGCCACACACACACACACGCACACTCGCACAAACACACACACACACACACATACACACGCATAAATGCTGAGAACGATGCCAAAGTCTCAGAATCCCATTACATAGTAGTTAAAACCTGATTAGGAAATACTTGCGGCTGCTTTCAGCTCTGCCACACGCTTGGTTAAAAAGAAATAACAATAAACGGCACATGTGAAATGGTTACTTGCGTTCGCTAAGCGGCTCGAGACTATCCCGGGGGTGACAACAAAAACGTGGCCCAAAAACCAAAAAAAATTCGCAACAACTCAAAGTCAAAGGTGCAATAACCCAAAGGCACATAAAAGCAAATGGCTGCGGGTTGTCTCTATGTACAAGGTATATATGAGTGCATATGTATATGAATATGTATGTGGAATGGTCTATGTGATGCTGCTATTGCGGTAAAGATAACACACACACAGACACTCGAAGAGACGCAGTCAGCCATGCAGCCAAAGCCAAACCGCGCAGAAAATGAAATGGAAAATATTGCCACGAGAAGCAGCGAAATAAAAAAGAAATAAACGAGCCAAAAAGGAAAAGCTGCGCCAAAAGGTTTGTACTCTGTGTGTGTGTGTGTGTGTGTGGGTGTGTGAGAGTGTGAGTGCTGGGTAGCAGATTTAGAGGTTGCTTATGTGTGATTTAGTATAGCACGCGCGAATATGGCGGCGATAATTCTTTAAAAATTGGAAATTGTTTTCCAATCGATTTCGCATTTAGCCAAAAAGCACTCGACACACACACACACACAGACAGCCAGGCAGACACATGCACACACCTAATAGCAGGCGAGTGGAAAATGTCTTTTACAGTTACCCCACGTATGGGTGCGTGTGTGTATTTGTGTGTCAGTTTAGTTTTCGCCAAAACATTTTATAAAAATGTATAAAATAATATAAAAAATATAAAATAAATACACAAAAAATAAGAAAAACATTGTTATTTTTCACCTGGCTGCAGCTTTGAAAAGGATTTGGTAGCTGAAATCATGGATTGGATTTTAGCTTTTGTTTAGTTTTCGGTAAAAGGTGAAAAGCGAATGTTTTTCGACCAAATGGAAAATGATGAAGCTGGAGCGCCAAATAGAAAAAGTGAAGGGAGCAATCGGGTGGTATATAGAATGGAATAAAAATGGAAAGAGTTGATTAGTATATATATGTATATATCTGGATTGTAGCTGTAATAATAGTCGATATATCGACAATTAAGTAATCGATTAGCCAATAAATTTGAAAAAGAAATAATGGAAAAAGAAAATTGGAAACATATTGGAGCTAAATGAGATACATATCTCTATATGATATGCTAAAATCTTGTTTTTGTTAGGATAGTCCATTTATAGAAAGTTAGAAGCATAGCTGTATAGAGATTTGTATTGCAGCAGTGTCACTTTCCAATCTACTTATTTTGAGTTCTCACTTTGTGTGTGTGTGGACGAAAATGTAACAATTTCTGTATCCAATTTACATTCTGTGCGCTCGTTCATTCAAGTTTATATAAAAGCGATTTTCATAGCTATATAGCGAAGAAGAAACAAGCAGCCGATAGTGCGGCTCATTGTGTGTGGTGTACAATGACTACAATGGGCAACAAAAGGTTATCTAACCTACCCACACACACACACTCACTCACACTTACAGCAAGGGGGCGTGTTTCGGGCTTAGTGGAGAAGGAGGTCGGAGCGGGTGGGGAGAAGCACACAAAGTACTGTCAGGGATAGCGGGCACGCAGCTCTGGAGTGGGCGAGTCGTGACATATTTTATTTGCACAATGACAATGCGAGTTACTCGGCAGACGGCAGCGACAACGACAACGACAACGACGACGGCGACGACGACTACGACGACTACACACCCGCCATTACGCAAACACACCCTAGCACAAACACACACACACACACATACACATAGCTAGATCTGTATAAATTGGCTGGCACTGAAAGGGGGGCGGAGGCAAAGTAGCGTACAAAGTAGTAAAATAAGTGCAAAGGATAATGCGAATTGAAATGACAAAACCCAGAATAATCATTGGCTCCATCCACACTCAGCATGCAGAAGTCGAGTGTGGAGCCAAACGGAGGAAGGAGGGCTGTTGTTTGTAGCTAGATGAGTAGACCGAATGCCATACTCAAATGATTTTTATTTATGCCTTTTAAGTAAATTAAAATTTACTCATTTTGTGTCTCGCGTTGCTGCTGTTGCTGTTGTTGTTGTTTCTCTGAAATCTTCGCACATGACAATATTGTCAATTTTATTTTGCCAGCCATTTTTATTGCATTTCGTTGACTTAGTCCTGCTTTAGCATTTGCCTCGACTCGTAAAATATTTTTATGTATTTTTTATTTACCCAACGCTACGATGCATGACCTCAATATAGCATGCCAAGTGGCCCCACAACCAGCCAATGCAATTGCTGCTGCTGCTGCTCCTATATTCCTGGCTCCAGCTATAGCTGTAGCTACATGGTTCCTGTTCCTCGTAACATGCTTTTAATGTGCGCCATTTTATTTGCCACAAAACCGACACACGGCACCATTAAAAAGCCATAAGCGCTGAGCCTCAAGCTCCGAGCTGCCGGCCCGGACTCGCGCTTAGACATTATTAGAACTTGCCCAACCACTCTCTCTCTTTCTGTCTCTGTCTTGCTCTCTTTTTGTCTCGCTCATATTGTTTCCGGCTTGCTCTGGCCATAAATTGTGTGCGCGACTGCATTTTGATTACAATTTTTATGATTTTTAGGTCAAAATTTGCCAACATAAAATGGCCAAAAGTAAATTTGAAATAAATAAAGCGGCCCCTGGACTAGCAACAGCAACGCAACATCACCAATAACAACAACAATAAGCACAACAAAATGGTGTCGTGTTTTATGTGCGCCCTTTTTGTGCCATAAAAGGCAACATATATATATATATATATATATATATATATATATATATATATATATATATATATTGGACATGTGCTTGGGGACGGAAGCGGCACGGTCCGGCTCGGTTGGGTTCGTAAATACCTTGGGCCAGGCCACAATTCGAGTTTGGTTTATTTATTTTCGGGCAGCATGTTTATAAGTTGCGAATTATTTTGGCTTCTGGCTCATATTTCATTTGCATTTAATGAGCCCTAAAGCGGGCGCCTACCACTGCAGCGTTGGGTCGTAAAAAGTGTTTGCAAATTGAAATTTCAGTGAAGGCCCAGTTCTAATGACAATGGCTAAGCAGGTGCCATACATTTAACCAGGCCGAGGCGCAGTGATGCCAGAGCCGAAGCCCAAAGTCCGACGCCCCAAAAACTGTGCGTGCCAAGATAAGAGGCCCAAAAGATTTATTGCCAACGCAATGAGTTAAGAAAGACAAGTACCTAAGGCACAAATACAACAACAGGCATTTCATGATGACGATGACGAGTTTCTATGTACAACACCAAACGAATCAGGCAACAAAAACAACAACAACAACATCAGCTAGAACGAACCGGAATAATAATGATGAAGCTGCCGCATACTGACAAACTAAATGATGGAGAATGATGCCAACGAGCCAAGTCGAGCCTGAAGCTGAAGCAGCTACATCTGCCTGCTTGTCTGATTGCCCCTGAGCAGCGAGTGAGTGGAAGCTGTAAGTGAAGAGGCGGCTCGGGAGGGACATCGGAATCGGAAGGTTGGCAGGCAAATAATGGCTGACAGCGAATCGTTGTTGCTTTGTCTGCTGTGCGTGTGTTCTCTTAAGATTATTTCAAGATGGCATAGCTTTTAAACATGTGCTTACGTATAGTATATATATACATGTATATATAAACATTCATATCTGCATTGAGTATGCGAATGACACTGGCTTATAATGGCTAGATTAATGGTATAATATATAATATAATGCCATTGCACTTCTATTAGTATTAGCAAATCTGATATTTGTTTTACTACTACTACTACTTATACTACAACTATTACTACAGATACTATTACTACTACTATTAGTACAACTACTCCTACTACTATTACAAGTACGACAACTGATTCTAATACTGCTTGTAATTTTATCTTTAATATTATTATTATTACAACTTTTTCTATTTCCAGAACGACTACTACTATCATTTATGCTATTACTTTTACTACTACAACTATTATCATATCAGATGCTACTTTTATTACTACAACTATTACTATTTTTTACTGTAACTTTTACAACTTCAACTATTACCCATTGGACTACTTATATTAGCTTTCCTACTACTGCTACTATTACAATTTCTGTTGGTAGTCTAGGTTAATGCAACTGTTATTACTATTTCTACTATGATTACTTCTGCTAAAACTTATAATTAGAATACATTTTGTGAAAACTTCAGCTCATTCACTGTTTGGTAAATCATTTGTTGCTTTTCACTTTCAGCTAGTGTCATTGGAGTCGCTCAAATATTATTCGCTGTGAATATGTATGAGTGTATGCGAGCTGGCATGTTGCTGATTTTAATTACAGCTCATATATATTGCCGCTTGTGCCAGGCTGAGCGTGATTAACAATAATTAGAGTCGGCATTAATTACGCCAAAAAGTTAATTACGCATTGCCAAAGAATAATGTCATACATTCATGTTGCCGAGTGTGGCGCTTCTGATAACAGCAATCGCTGGCTTCAGTTTGGCTCGAGTAATAGTTGCCAAAACTTGAACAGAGTTTAGTTTTGAGACTTGTCAAACACCCCAAGCATTTCATCAGCTGCTCATCCTTGCTAGCCAAGCGGCCTTTGGCTGTTTATTCAAGCAATTTAATTGCTAATTTCGTGCATGGCAATTGCAATTGCCCCGTGGTCCCTGGTTATGGGGGACAATGGGGGTGGGGAGCTCAGGGCACTAATAAAGTTCTTAAACAGCGGGCAGGCAACTTATTAACCCTTTGACTTTGGCCTGCAGACACCCACGCGGTCGCAATAAAATCAATCTTATTAAAACATTAACAGCAGGCAGAATGGGAAATAAAATAAATCAAATGGTTGGCCCCCGTCCCTTAAACGCCCGGACGCCCCTCCATCTGGCATTGAACGACGCTTAACGCGGCGGGGTGTCATTCTTCAGTCGCATCTCCGCTACATCTTCCCGCTTGCCGCTGCTGCTACTTTATTAGCCTGCCTTCAATCAGTGGCAAGTGAGCCGGCAGCCAGCATATGAAATTCAAATTTGATGGCCACCCTCAACCCGGGGCCAAGGGCGGCTATACCAACCCCCCATGGCTGACAATGCCATTTGGGCATTTTGCATAGGACAACAACAACAACAACAATGACAGCAACAATAAGAGCAGCCCTAGCATGTCCTTTTATTATTATTTTTATTGTGCGGTGATTTTGTGCGCACCCCGTGCACCCCGCGCAACACCAAAAAAGGCGAACTGCTGCCGCCGGGGGTCGGGGGCGCGTTTGTCATTCAGCGCTCGGTGGGCTGGTCGGTGGGGTGCATATAAATTCGACATAATTTCATTGTAATGAATAAATTGATGGATGGTCCAGGTCCGACCACCTTCCGGCTAAATTAAACACTTGCCAACCGCAAGACCAAGTCTCCAGGGTACCAAGACGTGTCGCGCCATGGCATATTAGATCTGAGGCAACTGGCTCTGTGCATAAATTACAATTTGATTTTTTAATTTGAAATTGTCAAAGACTCATTCATTATTTATAAATAAAATTATTAGTTCGATTTTTTTCCATAATTTTTATTGTTCGTTTTTTTTTTGTTTTGCTTTGATTTAATTTCTATAACTAGTAATGTTAAGTGTACAATTATTAAATATATTTATTTGTATTTATATTGTTGTTTTTTGTTTTTTTTTTTTCCATTTTAGTGTTTTTTTTTTAATTTTGTTCTATTTTTGTTTTTTTTGCTGATCTATCTCTGGTTGTTTATACGACTAGACAACTCCTTAAAAACTGCTACGGCTTTTGATATAGTTTGTTTACAATACATGCGTGACTTGATCTTGATACGTTTTCATTACATATATATATTTAAATATATATATATATATTTATATATTTATATATATAAACTTTTAAATATTTGGCATATGCGCTGCCAAAACAAAGTTTTTGTTCAAATGTTGGCATAGTTTTTATTATTTATTTTAATCGGATTTTTTTAGCTGATGCACAGTGGGCAAAGACTTATTGGTTTGCGAATAACTTTAACTGTAACTTTTTGCTATTTAGTTAATATAGCTAGTTAGTTCATTAGTTAAGGGCGAACTACTTCTTATAAATACAGCTTGCTGCCTATAGTTAGATATTTGCTTTATATGTACAAAACACTTAACATTCTACATATACGTTGTTTTTTTTTATTTTTTATTTTATTTTCGTTTAAATGAACATAATTGGCATTTAATCTCAATGCAGAAATGCAAAACATAAAACACATTTATCAATTTGTAATTAATTTTTCTGCCTTTCTGACTGCCGCTTAATACCCACTAATTAAAACTGCACAAAAACTCGGCCTTTCATTTTTTTTATCAGTTTTTACTTTTTTTTTGGTTTTGTTTTATAAATGTAATTATTGTTCTTCAAAAAAGTTGTATTTCATTTGCTCTTGCTGCTTTTTGCGCTATTTTTTCATCTAAAATTTAATTAAATACACTTAATGCTAACATTTTGATATTTTTTGGGCTTTTGCTGGTTTACAATAACAAATCGTTTATTATTTATGTTATAAGTACGTTGATTTAAATATTTTATATATATATATAAAATATATATATATATATGTATATATAGCTATCATTTTATTTGTTTATATATACTTAGCAATCGCTCAATCAATGACATCCTCGTCCACATCGTCGCCGTTGTCGTTGCCGCTTGAGGCGCCACCGGCATTGGCGGCCGCTGACATTAGCCCGTTGGCGCCCAATGGCGATTTGTTGTTGTCCTCGTTGTGGGTCACTGTGCCCCCGTCATCGGCGCCGCCGCCGCCGCCTCCTCCGCCCAGGCCCAAGTCGCTGTGATCCAGCAGCAGGTTGTTGTTGTTGCTATTGTGACCGTGCAACATATGGTTGTTGTTGTTGTTGTTGTGGTTGGACAAATGCTGCTGCATGGCATTGCCATTGTGCTGGCCGGAGAAGTGCTGCAAGTGGTGCTGATGCTGATTAAGCAGAGCACCGAGTGCGTTTTCTCAGACAACATCGGTCACGCCATACTGGCAGGCGGACAGGCCGGCGGAGTTGGAGCGCGATACTGGCGATGGCGCCGAGTAGGGGCTGCTGAAGCCGGTGGCGTGCTGCTTCGCCTTCAGCCGCAATGTGGCAATGCTCGAGGACATGCTGCTGCTCATGCAGGGCTCGGCGGCGGCGCGATACATGTACGGATTGGCGGGTGTTGTATACGGACAGGGTGCAGCGCCCACGCCCACATTCGTGTTGGTCAGCGTGGAGCCCATTGTGCCGGGTAGCATGGAATTGTTCATGCTCACAGCCACGCCGCTGGCGCCCGTATTGAAGCAGTTGACCGAGTTCTGGTGATGATTGCTGGTCACCATCGAGCCGAGTGGATTGACCGGCCAGGGGAATGGCTTTGTGCCCAGTGGCGACGGCACCTTGGTCCAGTTGTTATACGGATATGATGTATATAGCGAATCATCGGCAAACGGCTGCATGAACTGTGTGCCAAAGCCCGACTTGAAGTCTGCTGCTGCCACAGCCGCATTCATTGCATTCCGCTCGCGCTTGCGCCACTTGGCCCGTCGGTTCTTGAACCACACCTGCAATGGAAAGCAAAGCAAAGCATACAATGAGCTCAGTTCAGAGACAGACGTGTCGCACTTTGTTAGCAAGTTGGTTAAAGTTTTAAAAGCTTGTGCCACTGGCAACGGCAGCCATTTTCTTTTATTGCGCCTTCGTGCCGCATAATTTATAACATTGCCGCCAACTTGAAAATTTATGTATCCGTCTGTATGCTGAGTGTGTGCGACTGTGTGTGCGGAAAACTCCCCCAAAATGCAGCCCCCGCCGAAATCAGCTCCCATTCCCATCCCCCCATCACGTAAAGGGCGCTGCGTAATACGCATGTGCAGTAATTATAAATACAAATATACATAAATACTGCTGCCATTCTGTGAGCTGGTGTTCGTCTGCTGTGTGTGTGGGTGTGTGTGTTTGTGCCTGTGCCTGTCTTTGTGTTGCCTTTCCTTTTTAATGGAGAGCTTTATATAAATAAACTCGCCGTGCCACCCCCAACAAAAAAGAAGCAGTATACAGCATTCGAGTTGTGCCGGGGGTTGTGTGTCGGCTGTGGGGCGCGAGGGGCACGAAAAATAAATCAAAATTATTTTGCAAGCAAAAAGTACACAAAGCAAAAACAAAAAAAAAGAAGAAACAAAAGCGAAAAGCAAGTAGATAAAAAACAAAATGGCAACTTTGTAATTTATTGCTGAAGTTTGCGCAGCGCACACAGATACTCAGCTGCAGATACAGATACAAATATATATATATAGAAACATATATACAGAGATACAGATACGGATATGGCAAATGACAAAGGCACATAGCACGCTGTGCAGACGTTGCCAGCATTTCTGATGAGATTTCTAGTTTTGTCTTCATTTCTTTTTGGCTTACTTAAAGAGTCGCTTGGCCAGGCTAAATAATTGCGCTTTAAGTTTTCCCACCAGCCAGGCAGCCAGCCACTGGCAATTGCAATTGCAATTGCAATGGTTCAGGTAATTAAACCTGCTGCAGCATTTGCCGCTTGTTGCCGCCTTGCCACATTTGTACTTAAATCAACGGGGTTGCAAATTTATGGCCTGCCGATTGCGTAACTAACTGTGGCCACGCGCAGCTCGTATGCAAAAACTGGGCCTAAACGATGGCAGCATGCAGCGTGGCATGCCGCATGGCGCATGAAACGTTTGTTGTTTGTTTTGTGGGAACAAAAAGTTTGCCACGAGCCAATTTAATACGCATTTATTCGCTCGGCAATTGCTCTAATCGAATTAGTTGCGCTAGTTAATTGAAAACGCATGAGCCACGGCCAAGTACGGGCTGCCAAATAGAGCTGTAACTAAAAAGTTTGGCAGCGTGAGAAACGCAGCTTCTAGTTGCATGCAGCCTTTGGCCGAGGCATAAATCACAGCCGGGCCAATTTCAATAAGCCCCATAGCAATGTGTCAATTTGTCAAGGTACATTGCTCAGTCGCTGCAGCCTCATCATCATCAGCATCATCGACACAAGCATCAGCATCATGATGATGGCAAAACTAACGTCATCGATCTCGTCAACTGTCATTTTCACGTATCATTTAGCAAGTTGTTGAAGTTTGGGCCAAAAAGTAAAAAAATGCTAACGTTTGCATGATGGCAAATTGATGTGGCTGCATAGAGAGAGACGACGAAAAAAAGTAACAAAAAAAATATATATAGCTATGTGTGTGTGTGTGTGTGTGTGTGTGTGAAAAAGCAGCGCAATTTTCCACTCAACGGGCAGACACTTCAGCCAGCATCCAGCACCCGCTGACTCAAGCAGAAAATCCTAATTGGTTTTGATGACACCTCCTACCGCTACGCTCCCCTACCCTTTCAGCATCTCGCCTATGTTTTATGCTGCGCTTCATCAGGTAAAGTTGTTAAAAAACAAAAAGTAGACAGTTTTTTTGGTACACTCGCACAGCCAATGTGACCATGTGGCAAAAGTTATGGAACTGAGGTCGCCTTTTTTTTAACTAGGGGTCTTTTCTTTGAGTGAAGAGCTGCCATTTTGATTGATGGCCACAAATTGCAGCTAAATACGTTTTTTATTTGCTTAATTCTTGTTGTTGGTGCTTCCGTTGCTGTTGCCTCTGCCATTGTCGTCAAAGTGGCCCCTCACACCAACGGGCTGCGCTTGGACAGCATGAAATTGAAATTGAAGTGAAAATTTTGATTGCTAACAATATTGATAAGCATTACGAGACTGAAAAGGCGTAACGCAGTTGATTGCTTGCTTATGAGAGCAAGCCACTCATAAGATAATTGTCAAGAAACTTTCTAGATAAAATAAAATAAAGATAAATTTATATATGTGATGTATAAATATTAATAAAGAGTTAACAACTTTATCAAGATATTCTGTTGAATTTTGAAAGCATATTAAGCCTGCAGCCTAAACATACTTCAAGTGTAAAGAGCATCGGATTATAAGTTTCTTTTAGACTTAACTAATTGGGCATTTTCTAGATCTTTTTTTACAGCCTGCTGTTGACTTGCCTTGAAGTGGAATTCGAAATCAAATTTTGGCTTTTCCCATATCATTTTTCATTCAAGCTGATGAAATCTTTGCTTTGCTTAACAAGTTGTTCCACGATCAATTATTTTCCATCGAAAACTTAATTTTCCTTTGCTCCCATTCGGACTCTTAGCTGCCCATATTGTGGCACCTTTATGGCCATTTCTTTTTATGCCGCCACTGCAATGGCTTTTCTATAGACAGGTAAATGTTTGTTTGTTTCCAGGCCATTGCCAGCACCTGACCATAAAAAAGGAGCTGTTCGAGCTGTGCTACGATTTCAATTGCAATTTTCCTGCTCTGCCCCATTGAATGCTCAACAAATGTTTTTACGAGTCTGTTGCGACTGTTAATTGAATGAAATGCATTTGTATCGCAGTAATGCTTTAAAAAATAGAAAAACTCAGCCAGCAGACAAGCGAACATATTGCCATAATTGCTGGCGCATGTAAATCCTCAGATTAGTAGCTATCAGGGATGTCCGTCCAAGAAGCAGCCACATTTCCTGCCCAGCTCAGCTACTGCGACTGCTTTGTTTGCACAGACGAGACTGCTCTTTTCCACTTTTCTCCTTTTCTTTTTTTTTGACAATTTTAAACCCACCCAGATTTATATATATATGTATAGAGGTGTATACGCGCGTCGAGCGAGCTGTAATCCTTTTGTATATTTGATAAATTTTATTGCCTACGCTATTATTGCAGTCAAATGTTATTTTGCCTTTTACCAACCCCCCACCAAGCCTCTCGTGCTCCTGCCTGGACAGAGACAGCACGATCATGATAATTAATTCTCATGCGGTTTCTAATTCATTAAACAACCCTCGCTGCCTCGCTGCCTAGCTGCCGCACAAAAACTCATCCAAAGCTGCTGACAAATTGCCTCGCATTGTTTTGCATTTTATCGCGTGGTTGGGGTGTTGGATGTTAGCTGTTGGCTGTTGGCTGCTGGGAGGGTTGCAGCTACCCCCAGCCCCTCGTCAACGGCAGCAGCAGCAAACCTTTTGTCATCATATAATGGACCATAAAACAAACTGTATCAATATTTTATGCATTGAGCGCAACACATGTTTAGATTGACATAATTTCCCGACTACAGCCAGGCAGGGCATCCCTTCTTGATGTCAGACACTTGTTTCCGTGCCGCAGCTAATTTCTTTATAGTAGCCCCTCTCTCAAGTGTTATGTTAGACGAAATTTTAGACATATGCCCAGTAACAGAAATTTGCATAGAAAAACCATGAAATATGATTTTTTCTATTGGTGCCAGCAATTTGTCAATGGTTCTTATACAAAATTTTGTAGCTGCCAGATGTGTTTTATATATGTCAGCTAATTGCATTTACACATATATGAAACGTTGCCCATTAATGTCGAACTTGTGTCGCCAATGCTCATCAATACTGCCGATGATCATCATCAGCGCGATCGATCAATTCGGGCAAGTCGAGGCGCTGTCCCCATAATCATATCTAAAGTGTATCTCTGTCGTGTCGCTGTCTTGACTGACTGACTAACTGACAGACTGGCACGGCGCACAGATATCTATATAGATATTATAGTTATCGGTCGGCTATACATATATATATATTTGCCACACATATTTGCCGCTTGGCGCCACTTATGCGCATACAACTCCTCCAATTGTTTACCAACTATCGTTTACAAACAATTACAACTGTTGTGCGTGCGTTGTTTTGTAGAATCAACTCCTCTGGCTGCCTCGGTGGCTATCTTGAGTTGCTTTGGTCATACAAATGCTTGAGGCTGTCAATAGCTGTTGGGCTATTGGCGTGGTATGTTCAAACAGCTGCGGTGGCATTTTGATAAGCCGCGCGTTCTCGGCCCAGTTTACATAGAGGGCCATAAAAATGTTGTCCCGCTTCGACTGCTGCTGCAAACTGCAGCAAAGTTTTAGCCGCAATCGAGGCGGCAATTTATGGCAACTTTGCGCCACGGCCACTGCCACTGCCACTGCCACTGCATTGGCTAAGCCCAAAACTGTGGATGCAACATAAATTTACTGCTGCAACAGAGCGCAAAATGGCGACGGCTTTTTTGGCCAGTGAGCGTTTAAGCCGCGCGAATTCAAACGGCAATTTTGTAAGAGAGGGAGAATTTGTGTCTGTGTGTGTGTGTGTGTGCGTGTGTTTGTGAGTGTGTGTGTTGGGGCAGGAACATATTTACGAGTTGACGCTTGCATTTTGTTTGTGCTGCTGCTGTTTGCATTTGTATTGGTGGCAGCTACGTGCTGCGGTTGCATTGCGGTCATTTTAGCTCAGTCGCCGTTGCCGCCGCAGTAATTGCCGCATAATTGCACAATACATACACACACACACACACACACACACAGAGGCAGACACACAGTTGTTGTTTACAGTTTGCGGCTTTGATTGTGCAATTAATATGAAATGGGAATTGAATTACTCACCCGAACTCTGGCCTCGGTTAGATTGGTCCACATGGCAATCTCCTCGCGCGTCGACATATCCGGATAGCGGTTACGGCTGAACGTATGTTCCAGCTCCTGCAGCTGCTGCGAGGTGAAATGTGTGCGCTGTCGTCGCTGGCGCTTGTTCTTCTTATCGTTCTTTGGCTCATCGGCGCTGGTTGTCATCGGCTCATCGTGTCCAGAGTTTGATATGTTCTCCGTTTTAATTGTGGTCTCATTGACGCTGCGATTGCCTGTAAGCAAAATAATTACGCAGAGCATTAAAAATGGTCGTCGTTTCTATATGACTCGCTTCATAAGTAGGCAGCATTCGCTGGCGTTACTAATTGCCATGCAACCTTTAAGTGACGCCAAGACCCCAATCAAGCCAACCCCAACTCCACAGCCCACAGCAACTCGCAATGCTACTCCCACTCCCACTCCCACTTCCGCACCATGCGCCGAACACTTCAAACGAGGGCCGCCGACAAAGCTAGCCTAGTTTTTGGCTGCTACCAGATTTACAACCCGTTAATGTGTGTTCCGAGCGTGTCATCGATCATGGCGGTGTGCTCGCCCTTTGTTGTCGCTATTGTCGCTGTTGTTGTCGCTGCCGAGCACCGAAACTTAATCAAATAAACTAAATGACTGGTCATATGAAATATCAGTTTCGGTGGCTCGACAACGTCGTCATCATGTCGCAAATCAATGCACTCTAATCGAAAACTAAACGGACGCGAGTGAGTAAATTTTCGCCGACAAAGGCCAAGAATCACATCAACCCTACCAGCTCCCCTCCCATACCCCCCACCCCAACCCCATCACAATTATAACGTGCCACCCATTGGCCATGCTTTCGAAAATTATTATAAATTATGTTTCTTATCGATTAACACTCGCACGTATAAAATCAATAACCAGTCACTCGGCGCAGTGCCACAGTTCCACGGTTAGTTCGACCGAACATCATACGATTAGTGTTCGCGATATTTAAAAAAAATTAATATTAGTGGTTCTTTTATAAACAAATTGTATTAAATTTAATAATCTGATTAATCTTTCTTTCAATTGCTCATTTTAATATGCGAATCCAATCCTAACTTAAGTCCAAAAATTTGACTTGAGATTGGAAGATTAGTGATATTAGGTCTACTTACCGTCTTTGCGATCCCGACTCCGATTCGTTAGGGTTGACGATGATGAAGTTTGAAAGTTATTTAAATGTGTGCTATCCAAACTATTTGCTACGGCGGTCATGGAGCTATGACTATCACGAAAATCACCGGTTTCGGCCCAAACTGAAAAGAATAAACCAGCAAAGGGCACAGAAATATACAAAAAATTAATGTTTTAACATAATGTGTTAAAGGTATTAAAGGGAATAGTGCTTCGCACAAGATGCGCCTCCTTAAAGGCCCATAAAAATGGCGGATAATAAAAGGATTTATGGCTCGCCCGCCAGTGGAACAGTTTTAAATGGGCTTTTGGTTAGCTCGATTAAGTACACGAGTGTCTGGTCTTCTCAGCTGAGAGCCAGGACTTTGTGCGTTAATTGAGCAAAGGAGCGAACATTATGAAATCTTAAGGCTGCTTTCTCTTTATAGGTATACATAAGAAAGGGATAAAAATATTCTGACGAGTCTTGCGCCATAAATCGAACTCAAATGAGCCGTGCTCTCGGCTATCCTATAATAATTGCTGTAATTATTGCAGTTAGTCACGCCGAATTTCCTATTAATTAGTCAGCCTTTGACATTTTCCCCAATACAGATTTATAGCCAGACAATTGATATTCGGTTTTTGGGGTCTGCGCACCTTGAGGTGTGTGCCCATATGGCAGAGGTCCCGACTTCCTGGCCATCGCAACTAAATCTTATGGACTTCCTTTAGTTCAGTTCGGTTCGGCTCAGTTCGTTGCATAATTTATGGCCTTTTCACATGTTGTCAGTTTTATGTGGTTTTTAAAGTGCCTGCCCGGCTGGCTGCAAACACCCGCTGCGACATTTTTGTGAAACAATTAGCTCGTTGCTGGTGTGAAACTCGAGGGGCACTTGGGGTAACATTAATGTTCCGGCTCCTGCAGCCGAACTCTGCCCTCAGCTCAGCAAGTGTGCGCAGCTCAATTAATTACTTGGTATTTTCTTGAATTTATGCTGTTAACAATAGCACATTATATGGCATACATTCATGTGTTTTAATTATTAATTTATATTTTTAGCAAATCATAGTTGGAGCTTTAACTATATTCCCAAGCGTGCATGCAGTGATAAGCAGTTATTATTATGACAATATTAAAAGGGAATCTAACAAAATGTAGAAAATAATATCTCCCGATGTTAGACTAGTGGCAACCCCATTTCAACTTCAAAATCTCTACTTCCATTTATGATAGGCAAATTTATCCTTGTCTGCATATGAAATACCTCCAACTCCAGGTCTGCAAAATTAGTTTCTTATGATTTGGTTAAGGAGCTCACATATTGAAGACTTGAACAACATAAACTAATTGAAATATTTGCATGTCAATTATATTTTAAGGCTGGTTTCAAAGTTCTATTCAGTCTCAAGTTCACAGATAGCTAAATACACAAAATCCGTGTGGAATATTTATATATTTTGGAACTACAAATATATTTCCTGATTACTCAATGACTGTATTATGTGCAGTCGTAGCAAGTTTTTTAATGATCCGATCGCCCCTTAAATACCAAAATGATGCTTAATAGCCCCCGCCGCTGTTGTGTTCTTCTTCTTCTTGTTCTGGTTCTTGTTCGTGTTGTGCCCGATTTCAACCTGAGCATGTGCCGTCAAATGGGTCGCGAACGTCATCTGTGCCATCCGCTTAAACTGTAGCCTCCCGCTCTAGTCCGTAGTCCACATCTCTGTCGGATGGGAAATATAAAAATATTTTCTTAACGATGCGCTCTAAAAAACGCAGAGAAAAGCACGTACCGCAGCGATTTTTATTTGTTTAAATATTTCGTACAAATTTTCCCAATTTTCTGACTAATTTGAATTCAGATTTTTTATATTCTGTCTTTTCATCTCAAATGGAAATAGTTGTCGTCTGTCAGTTGGCGTTGACATTTTGTTGGCGCAGTTGTTGCGCGAGTTTTACACTGTTTTTCAAGGTTCGCGACATGTGTGAGTGGCAAGTGTCAATACGAATAGCCAAGCAAGTGTCTGGTGGGCGTTGCCCGAACATTTTAGCCATGTCAACGGTGCGCTGTGACAACAAGTGTCAGCCTTAGCGTCAGTGTCTTTAGCCGTATTATTAGTGTCAGCCATTTTGCAGAGGCGTTTAAACAAACGAATGAGCGAATTGCTGAGCCAAACCCAAAAAATAATAACAATGCAAAAGTCAATACCCACCCCTAGCTGAGGGCGCAACTATTAATCATGCAGCAAATATGATCATGCAGAAAAATGAGAAATAAATGTTTGCCTAAGCAATGATTTTGATTTTTATATCCTGCACATTTGCCCATTTGTCGCATTCATTCATAAACATTTTCCACACACCCATTTCCACAAAAACTTTGACACACGACACGGCAAGGCAGCCGTCGCCAGAGCCAGGCAGCTATAAATTATCCTGCCCGAGCTCTGTCAAAACCCAGGCGCTGGCTGCGGAGGACCGAGCCCAAGACCAAAACAAACAAACAATTGTGCACACAAAAGGCAACCAGCCCTGGCCAGGGCCTGGCTGTAGACATTTCTATATGGGAAGCTGGACAAAACGTACGCCCCGAGAGCGCGTCCTTTGACACGAAGCACAACCCAACAAAACTAAAAAAGAAGAGGAAGAAAAATGCCAACGTTTACTTGTAGCATTTTGTGACCAAAAACAAACGATTAATGTGACAGTTGAATTGGGATGCGCAAGCAAACACACACATACACACACACGTGCATTTATAGCAGACACGGATACAGCTTTAAGCAGTAATCGGAATTGGAATCCTTTGGTCAGAATGTTAGCCCTTTTTCTACTGTTGGCTGCTGCTGCTGCTGCTCTTTTGACAAGTTAGTTGCTTTCATTGTTCTCCCAAAATTAAACCACTCGGCTGCGGGGAGGTTAGAAAAGGGTTAAACGCTGCGGTTGCTCGCCACATAAATATATTATACACATATATATGTGGTATACATAAATAAATATATATTTTTCCAATTTCACGCTACATTTGCTCTGGCCAAACCGAAAGTGTTAATATGCGAAGGTTTTGTGGGCCATATGCTCATATTGTCTGTGTGCCGAGATGCCACAGAGATCGAAATATGAAAACCCTCTTCGAAATTAGCCGAAAATGCTGTAAAAATTAAGTTCGAGGGGAAAACTTAATTTTTATATGACACTGAAGCCAAGCCCGGGTGTATCACAACAATTCACAAAGTTAATCCTTTATAGTTGCTTTTGTGCAAGCCAGACAATGACAATGGCCGTACGTGTGCGACAGGAAGGACATACGTTATGGCCATATAATGAGCTTGGCTGGGCCACGAGCGCGCACACACATAAAAATCACTGCAATAACATTGACATGGCCCCAAAGTCCGAGCACAGCGAATCCCGGCCAGACATGCCAGCCAAGCAAGCCAGTCAGCTAGTCAGGCAGTCGGGCGAGCTCATTAGCCGACGTCCTGCAGATAAGGATAAGACATGCAGACCCCAATAGCAACTGTCGTTGCTCTGCTTCACTATGCTTTGGCCCGCTCAGTTGGCTTCGAGTTCCGTTGTAGTTTTCCACTGCAATGCCTTTTTCCGTAATTTTCTCGACTGTCAGCTCAAATTTTGGCTCCAGTTGATGCCGTTGGGTCATTTGCCCATCTGTTCGTTTGCCGGCCCGTCCGTTTGCCCGGCCAGAACTCTGGGCAGCGCCTGGACAGTTCGGGCAAGTTTGTTGCCTCAGATAATCTCTAATGCGACATTTTTACGAAATTGCACGATACGGATAATGAGAAAGAGGCGGCTGTGGAGTAGCAAATAGAACCCGTAATCGTAACCCAAACTTTCACAGCGAAGTTTTCCAGTGAGCAACGTCGTAATTGCGGTCGTGGTCGAGTTGTGGCTATCGCCGGAGATACAAGACAGGGGGCAGGGGCAGTGCAAAGTGAGGGAGTTGCTTGGTTGCCATAATGACATTATAATTTATATAAACGAAATCAGTGCCATCTGACAGAGAGAGAGAGAGAGAGTGTAAGAGAAAGAGAGAGAGTAAGACAGAGCGAGGCAGACAGAGCAGCCACATGTCTACGTCTGTGCGCCAGGATTGATATATGGGCAGTTTTTGCGTTGTCCGTACAACTCGCAGCACTTCAGCTGGAGATGGTGCAAAAACTAGAAGTGGGCGTCACCAATGGGTGATTATCATTGGTGCGGTCGTTCACAATTTATGGGGTGTTTGCTTGGCAATTGCCCAGCGATCTTTGTTTTTGCCTTGGCAATTGAGTACTCTGACATATGTGCGCAATTTTCCAGAGATTTGCCCGAGAAAATGCACTGATGATGAAAATTGCTTAAAGCGCCAGCATCCTTAAAGATACAAATTACAAAATGGCTGGCGAGCAAAAAAATCGATAAAACGTATTTATATTCATAAAGAAATTTTGAGACATGCCACATCCCACATGCCACATGCCACACGTTGAATTTAAAGCAGCTAACAGGCCGCACATCCTTGAGCACCCTGAAGTTGTGTATCTGTATCTGAGCCCTGCCGCATATGCGCTCTGTCGCACTCGCAGACGCTACAGCTTAGCTCCATTAGGAAATGAAGCCTTGAACTTTATAGGTGCTACGAATGCCGTGCTTAGATGTATTTTTTAAAATTACTATGAATTTAAGCCTTATATTATGTATTTTTGATAGACATTTTTGATCTTTATTTATAGATGTATCTTATCTTCTTTAAGATAATTTTGAGCTATATTTTAAGACGTATCTTATATTCTGATAGCATTCTCTTTCAATCCATCACTTTTATTTACAGTTGCATCTTTGCGCAGCTAATATATCGTCTGAGCAGCATATATCTCAATCTGCTCTTTAGCTTACTTTCTCTTTAAAGACTTTTCCAAATATTTCAGCTGAAATTTATCAAGGCCTAAAGTAAATTCTGAGACAGCTTTCTTAACATGTTCGTTATATTTATAGGCTCAACACCGACTCTCGAGCTGCACGTGCCATTAACACTTTATGCCAGGCACTGGCCAAATAAACAACCAGTACAACAACAACACAGACTTAAGTGAATGCTGCACAGATGTAAGTGCGGACATTAATGTATGTAAGCATGTCTATATGAACAGCAGGCCCATTAGATAACAAGATTTCATCAGAAAAGTCGAGCAGAAAATTCTCGCACTCTGAGCCACATATTTAAAGATACAGATACAGATACAAATATAGCCAGAGCTACACTTAGATACAGCCGGCAATTTCATATTTTATCAAGGGCTGCAAACGGCAAACATTGTCGTAGGCAAATAGCTCTACCATATCTATGTGTGTATCTGTTTCTGTAACAACTTGGCAAACAGGCAAAGGACTCGGACTCGGACTCGTAATAATAAACAATAAACAAAAAGACAAAAACAACAACAAAGGTGTAGCATGATGTTGTATTATTTGCCTAGCAGCCAAAATGTAAACTGCTCTGATTTTGGTTTGTTGTGTGCTTTCGAGGTTTTTGTTAGTCTTTGTCTTTGCTCTGGTCAAATAAAAAGAACTCATTTAATTTTTTTGTGATATTTGTGACCAGATAAGTGTCTAATTGATGTTGTCAGAGAGAGAGAGAGCGAGAGAGAGATGCAAGGTCGCAGGATAATGGGTCGATTCAGGCTTCATTTTATATAAAATGAGCACAATCGTATATAGTTAGTAGATAGAGAGAGAGAGAGAGAAAGCTCTTGAGCAGTAGAGCTGGCAGCTGTTGACAACATAATTCAGCTCGCTAGACAAACATGGCCAGCTGCCAGTCGTTCAGCAGAGACATTAAAGAGTTGTAGTCCGGGGTATTAAAAAGCATTAACTTTTTATTGTTTTACACGCTGCATCTCGCATACATATACAACAATAAAAGTGTATAAAACTTGGGGTAGAAATTACTGTACGTGAACTTGAAATCCTTTGAGCGCAAAATTTCAAATAAAAACACGCACAGAAGCCATAAAATAATTTTTAAAAATATATAGAAAAACAAGCAACTAAAAACGAATTCAAAAGCTGCCACTGACTGTGTATTTGTGTGTGGCTCATAAAAAAGTGCAACAATAAAAAACAAAACAACAAAACACAAGCGCTTCCACACACAAATAAATACTTGCGCAAATAGAACTTAAGTTTCAAAAAAATGTCTGTGTAGGTGGTTGGATGCTGTTTGGGGAGACCGGAGATACGGCTAGCAGAGCTAACCATTAAATTGGCCAATAATTGAAAATCCAATGGCAATTGCAATGTGCAACAGTCCAAGCAGCGGGCACGTTGTCCGACCATTATTTAAACAAGAGCGTAAACAATAACGACAACAACAATAGCAACAGACGGAAATTTGTTGCCAACATCGTCCGCACCTGCAGCTCCAGCTGTCTGTGTGTCCCCGTCTGTGTGTGTCCTGGTGTGCATGTCAAAGGATAACTGCACTCGTGCATATTTTAAATGCGCACATTTTTGTGTTAAATTGTTTTGGCACGCAAATAAATGGCCAGGCAGCTGCGACCACAATACCAACCGCCAGCCGTACCGCCCACTTCACTGGTTCGTTGCAGAGTGCAAAGTTGGCGAGGCTGTTAACCCGGCAGAGCAGGTGCTTAGGGCATAGGTTCAAGGGGGACAGCTAACAAATCTCTCAGCTAAGTCAGACAAATACTTATGCGATGCTTAAACAAATTCGTTGCATTCATAGATATCATTCCGAAAAGGGAAAAACTTTCTGAGGTAGCTTTGGATCAAACAAATGGAATAGCTCGCAAATTATGTCTACGGCTACAAAAGTTTTTAGTCTGAATTATTTAAGACAATTATGGAATAATTAGCTACATTTTATAGGGATCTATATAATGTTCCGAGTAATGAGATTATGGTTTTAAATACTTTTTAAATTATTAATCCACTGATAGTGTGCATTCAGAGTATGATAATATTTCCATTAATCTATGATTGATTGATTGATGAACATATGCTATACATTGAATTTCCAATTAGGATATTTGGGTTAAGCCAAAAACCTTACCAATTAAGCTAACCAATCCCGGAAGATGACACATTAATATATTAGAAACAAAATAGTAAAATAATTAAATTCTTAATTTAATAAACATATTTAGCTTGTATTAATTAATGTATTTAAAGACTCAATTGCAATCTCGTGCTTCTTCAATACAATTGAGAGATCATCTGAAGCATTCATTCACCTAAGCAACATATTGCCTGTCTCTCCGCTTCCAAATTCCCATAACAATTAGCCTAAACGGAACAACAAACACTTGACTGCAATGCACATATCAAATTTCCAGCTATCGAACGACCCTCGGAGCTGACTTCACAGCATCAAAGCGCAGGCAAATGGAATTGGGAAAGGGAGTGGGAAATGGAAGAGGGAAATGGAAATGGGAACAGTGTTGCCTTCGGCACTACGCCAGAAGGGTGCTCAATTAGCCGTGACATGCGCAGCAAAAGTGAAATTTGTTTGGCTCTTCTTCTTCTGTATTATTTCCCATTTTTTCATGTATTTCGTTGTTGTCGTTTGCCTTTGTTACGCTTTTATGAAGATTATGCGCTAATGATTACACAATGATTATGAATATGCATGAGGCGTGGATGTCGTCACAGAATTACGAGGCAATGCCAGTGGCAGTGGCAGTGGCAGGGTTTTGCCTGCGTTGTATAGAGTCGACAAGTGGCCAGCAGGAATTTTTGCACATTGTTTAGAAATTTACGAGCATCGCATGAATGATGAAGTACAAGTATTGAGAGCGTGAATGATTGCCATAACGGATGAATATTGAAATGCCGACAGCTGTGGCTGACAGTGGCAAAAATACGCAATGATTACGAGTATGTGAATGTTGACACTTGTTGAAGATGCCACCAACAATATGCAATATTTACACATCAAAACACACACACCCGCTCATACACATATATATTTATATATACATTTGAAGCGCCAAAGAAAACATCACGCATACGCACCGCATAACTGCGACGCTGCGTGAAATATGGCCGCATTAATTACTTGTAAATTTGTTAGATGCTCAGCGGGCAGATGACTAGTCCCCCAATTTTCAGCCAAATAAATTGAAGAACAAATTGGCCAAGAAATTGACGTGGCGGCCAGGCCTTGCCCAGCTGGCCCCATAAACTGTTCCAAAATTATGGGGATCGTCTCTATTCGGTACTTACTTCTGAGTTTCTCGAGCGGCTCGTGTTTCGGTGTGTGCGGCGGCACAACGGCATGATGCGGATGCTGCGGATAGCTGCCAACAAGATCCTGACCGGCGGCCGTGTGATGCAAGTGACTGAGACTGCTGATGGGCATCAGGCTCGAGATGGCGGGTGAGATGCTGACCGAGGAGCTGGAGTCGTGGAGACTGTGATGGCTGTGCAGATGCTCGGCACCAGAAGCGCTGCTGCCGCCACCGTTTACAGTGGAGCTACCACTGCTCAGCGCTGTGCTTGTGGTGGTGGCGCTTTCTGCCGATCCCGCCGAGCCGGCACCGTTGGCGGTGCCCGCGCTCACCAAATCCTGCAGGCAGAGGCCTGTCGATTCGGCAGACATGGCCTCCAAGCCGTTGAGCGCACCGCTGACAATGCCACCGCCACCACCGCCGCCCGCAATGCCGCCCGGACCGAGGGCAGTGGCCGAGCTGGTGACCACACCCAGGCCGCCACCAGCAGCACCACAGCCGCCGGCAGCGGCGCGGTCCATGCCTAAATATGTCGGAAAAATGGTGGAAAAGCTCTGGGCGACAGCCTGGTGCGGCTGATGGTGATGATGCAGCGCGGACTGCTGATGCGCTGGATGCGCGGGATGCAGTGGCGGCAAATGATGATCCCTGCCGTTGAACTTCGTCGTGACGACGTCCTTAAAGTGTTGCAAGAATGTCGTCGTCTTGAGGCCGGTATCTTCCAACTGTGGCGAAAGCAGATCCAAATTGCAGCTGTTCCTGAGCTCTGCGGCGGCTGCGAAGCGCGCTGCGATGCTGCAATCACAAAAGAGTTGAATAATGAACAACAAGTGTTAGCTGGCTGGCATTCAATGTATTTTAATTGTATTCATTATCGCAATTACTTTCGCTCTAGCTCTATCTTTATGTATCTATATCTGTATCTCGGGCTGTATCTCTGGCTGCGGCTACCTGGCAAAGCAAACGCTGCGCATCGCTGCGCAGCTGTAGCGAAGCGCTTTTTGTTTTTTTATCACATCGAGGCAAACAGTGAGCTTAACCCAAACACCAGGCAACGGCAACTTAACACCAAAGACGTCAAGGGGTTAATACCACATCAGCAACACCAACATCTCAGGCTGAAGATGCCGATGCCAGTGCCGTTGCCGTTGCCGTTGCCTTTTTCTCGATGCTGTGCCCTGTAACCGACTGAGGCAATGCGGTGTGGCGTTGGGGCAATCGTAAATCGTTTTGGTTTGCCAGTGGCGGGTGCCGCGCTTGCCGAGACGTTTGCGACTTAAGTTGACAACGCAGGCTACACTACATGGACGGCAGAGCCAGACACAGAGATTCCTACACCTACACGCTCTTATCGGAGAGCGCAAGCGGCAGAGAGCTTGCAAAGATAACAAGCTGCTGCTTATCAATGTAACAATATTTACATTTCTGTGAATTTTTTTCTTTCGCTTTGTGTTTTTATTTTATTGTTGCTGCAGCCGCAGAGACGCCGTGTTGAATTTGGCAACCGTGGCGGGTGGGCAATAAACTCGGACGGGGCTCCTAATAAATTATCTAAAAATAAATATGAAACTTAAAAAAAGAACCACAGAAACATTGACAGCAACAGCAGTAGAAAACTAGCCAGAAATGTCCGTAAATCAATTAGCTGAACTATTCCAGGTATACTAGTTGGCCCTAAGTAAACTCGATTCACGATTCACGATTCGCGTTTCGCTCAATTCTGATCGCGCCTGGCACATTTGTGCGCTATCAACGAAGCCAAACAAAGCGCGCGTTGCAATAAATTCTTATCTAATCTCAATCATAACAAAAATAAAAGCATTCAAAAAATGAGAAAAAATGAAATAGAAAGAAAGAACTAAATAGTTGTAAAAAATTTAATAAATTATACAGCAGCAGGGAAATAAAGAATAAAAAAATATATAAAACATTAAACAGAATTCTTAACTTTCCAGTCGTAAATCCCAAAGACTCAAGAGACATCTAATGTAATCAAATATTTATTTGTCATATTTATTTGTCAGCGCCTGCCTTAAATTATGCTGAATTTTTGTTGTTTTTGGACAAATTTATTAAATTTCAATTTGATTTGTCACTTTCGATTTCGATTTCGATTTCATTTGCGATTTGAGTTTTGCCTCAAATTGAAAATTTATACTTGATAATGCCGCTTGATCTGCACTTGATCCCTAGTGGATTAGTGCGGCTGTAATATTAAATTGCCTTGCGGTTGTTTTAATAACAATAATAAACATAATTTCACATTAAACAGATTTATATCGCCATGTGCCACAGCGTTTTGCTTATTTATGGCCGCACGCAATTTTTACCTTAATTTTTTGCTTTTTTTAATATCAGTTTTTTTTTTTATTTTATTTGACGTGTCGCTGGAGATGAAAAGTTTTGCATTTGGCATTGTTATGGGCTGCTCATTGAAATATTGTTGTCAATTCGTGCGGCATCATTTGTGGCATATTTATATGCCGCAATGCATATAAATATTATTTTTTGTTTGCTTTTCTTCTTTTCGTGGAACATATTCGTTTTATTTTACTTTTTGTCAAGTCATTTTATTTCAGAAGTGAGAATTTATTTACATAATGATCTTCTAAGACAAAGAATGCCAGAAATTATTTTATGCCACTTTATGGCCGCAGCTTTTGCTCTTGTTTTCCCCACTTTTTTGTTGGAACTGTCGACCGTCGACTCGTCGTCGCAGCCTCTATGCGGCAACAGTTCGGCTGCCCTCTGCACCGGTTTTGTTATCGGTCGCTGGCAGAGCAAATAGCAAATAGCAAATAGTTATAGCCGTAGGTGCCAAGATTTCTATGTTTCGCCAAGGTCATTTCTATTTAATTCGATAAATGTATTTCAATTTAATTTCAACATTTGGCTCCTTCTTCGAATATCTCTGTTTGTGTACTTCGGTTTTTTCCGTACCAAAAAAAAATTAAATAAACAAAAAAAAACACAAATTCGCATTTAATTGTTTAAGTGACGTCAATGGCAGTTAGCGTCTTTGCTTCTTTTTTGTTTAGTGAGCCCAGGCCCCCTTACAGAATAAATGCTCCATGAATGTGAGACAGTTTATGGTTGCACTGTCTGACAATTATGAGTTGATTTATGCTTGGCGTGAGAATGCAGCTAACTAAGCTCTAGTTCAACAAGTTCTCTTATAGCCAGCTTTAGGACTTGAGTTTATTTTCGGGAGCTTTTGGCATTGTTATTTTATCAAGCAGTCAAGGCCTGGCCTCTCTATGAATGATAAACAGTGTTTAAATTGTATTTTTTCCGAGTAGTATTGGTCGAAGCATTCAATAATTTACAATTTGTTTATAGAATCTCTCCATAACTCAAATCTATTTAGGAATTCTCAAAGAATTAATGAATATATATATATATAAGGCGACAATTTGTTTTCATACGTAATTTAGTCAAATATATTATATAATTATAATTATTGCATGGAATTCATTCTAGATCATATGATATATTTTTAAAGACATTATTGAAATAATCCCACAATAAATGTCATAAACATCATCTCTTTGCTCTATATGAAATCTCTTTAATCTATTTATAAGATCTAAACATTAAGTATAATATTTGGTTTATGGGTTCGGGGTTGACTTATCCCAGAATAACTCACCTCTCGTTTTGTAGAAAGGAATTCAAATTAATCCACTTGCTAGCGCCGTCAATTTGACTGCTAGAAATGATCCTATGCTTCGGCTAGGGTTTCTGCTGCGATTGTGGTTTGAACTTTTGTCTTTAGTTTGTTCGTTAGTTTAGTGTTTAGCACTTGAGTGAATGTGGGGCAAATGTTGTGCACTTTGTAATAAATCAAATTGCTTTCATTTGAATTTCATTGGCTTTATTGGCTGACGCGAAAATCAAGAAAATTCCCTAGATCTCAGATCGTTGAACGTAGTCGAAATGTCGCGTGGGTTGCGTCGGCTATAAATCTTTTGGAATATTTGAGAAGTTGTCGGGAATTTATTGATAAATGAGATACTAGAATCTCTGCGCGTTTATTATTATTGTTGTTGTTGTTGCTTTTATTGTTGTTGTTGTGATTGCAACAGATTTGTGTGTTGTTTGTATATTTGATGACTTTCGATGGCTAATCAAAGGCTAAAGCATTTAAAACGCTTTTTATAGTTTGCACACAATTTGGCATCGCTTGCTCTTGTTGTTATTGTTGTTGTTGTTGCACACGCGTGTGAGCGAGACGGCAGCTCGGGTTCAAATAAAAATCACAGTGATTATGTTAGTGATTAATTTTAAGTAACTCATGGATATGTTTTTAATGCGACTTTGATGCCAGCTCGTTGCTGTTATAGCCTCACAGACAACGGCACACACACATACACATATGCACACGGACACGGACACGTACACACACACACATGCACACACAAAACGCAATTGCGGTGCTTTTTAGCACACACACATAGAAATAATCAGGCGGTGTCGTGGTTGTGGTCGTGGTCGTAGTCGGTATATTCGGCTGTTGATTCTAAATCCGCGTCGGCTTTAGTGTTTTAATAATTTAATCCAGCGCGTAATTAGGGTAAGTATATGAAGTAGCTCAAATGTTTGATTGGCTGGCGGAAGCACACACAAAACGGAAACACAACGCGTCTGCACCCGTAACAGGACGTGGCTGAATTGAAAACGAATTCGAAAGCACACGCAAAAGTATCTGTTGGATATGTCGCAGCGACGGCAGCGGCAGCGGCAGCAGCACAAGCAGCGAGTGCGTGACGGCAGCGGCAGTTGTTGCTGCGGGCTGTGGGGTGGGTTGGGTGTTGAGCAGCTCGCCTGTTGGCCTGCAACTTGCAGCGACTGTAACAAACGGTAAACGCACACGAGCACACACACAAACACAAACACACACACACACGACAGCAGCGAGTACGGCGAGCACTCGGCGAGTAGCTGCCAGAGTCACGACAAACGAACGTTAAGCAGCGGCGACGACTGACGGGCAAACGGCAACTGAATAGCGGAATTTGATTTTACCAACTAACTCGCACGCAACGCGAACGCCTCGCATTCACATGGCCAGGCGATGCTATCTGTATCTTATCTGTCCACGGGCCCAACAACAACGTGGGTGCGAGAGAGCGCGCACATGTCGGCGAGTAGCGAGTGCCATAGCTGCTGCCGGGTGTGAGCGAGAGCCAATGAACTGTGCACGCAGCCAAGACACACCCCAAATGCCGTTGCCACTGGCCGTTTATCGCGCACGCACACACTCACACACTCACTCACTTACTCACTCACTCTCTTACTACCGCTACATCGCCCTCGTTCATGCTCGCGTGTTCGCTTGCTCTCTCTTTTTTTCTCTCTCTCTCTCCTTCACCCTAATGTTTACAGAGCGCCATTGCTCCAGTTCTGTTGCCGTTTCTCTTTTAGCTTCTGCGTGTGCCACGGCTTCAGCCTCCCTGCGCGCGCGCACCTATCGCCCTGGTGTCACCCGCCCAAGCCCCGTCCCCCTTCACATTCTCTGCTATTCTTGCTGCTGGGAACTGTTT